CGTCGCCTGCCGCGGCGCTCGGCGCCGGGCATCGGGAATGCCCTTTGCCAACCTCCAGCAGTGAACCTCGGCATGTATTTTTCCCAGTTTGTAGGCTGCCGGCTTGCAGCTGACCCACTGGGCCACGTTTCTTGGATTTTCCTAAAAATAGCCCCCTTCTCCGTTGTTTCTTGTGGGCAATGGGGCCAAAGCGCTCAGCTTGGCACATCACCTAGGTGCAGGTGTGCATGCACCAGGTCGGGCTGCAAAGATAGCCAGCCCCCTTACCAATTTTTTGGGGTGGGTGTAGAGTTTGGCTCTCGGGATGCTGGACACGAGGTCTGTGTCCCCAGGAGGTCTTGCAAAAGTTCCTTTGCTCCTCGGTGCTTCGCTTTCCTGCCTCAGCGAGGCTTTTTCTCCTTGGAAGTTGCTGCACGGGAGAGGACCTCCCGTGGCTTGGCTTTGAAGAGCTGCGGCCCTGCCAGTGGTTAGCAGCAATAACGTTGGCCACGTTTGCGAACGATGGGGGAGAGCACCGTGTTGCTTGAGAACTCAAAAGAAAAAAAATTAATCTGTCAAATAGCATTTAACGAATTGCAGTGAGGAACGGAGGGAAACGCGGTTGCTCCTCACCTTTTGCAGCTTTTGAGATGCTGGAGTGAAGCTGTGGCTGAAACGTTACAGAGAAACAGGGTAAGGACCGAACGCGACCCGCAACAGCCTGCCATGGTCCTTCGGCAAAACTACCGAGAAGCCGCTGTTTCTCATCAGGCTACAACACGATCCCTTGAGGTTAAAAAAAAAAATCTCAGCAGGGATCGTTTCATGCCAGAGTGATGCAGAAGAGCCCCAACGCTCCATGAGCAGCAAATGCTCCGTGGGAATTTGGCCAGGAATCTCGTGGCCATATCTGCCTGGTCTTCTTGGACAACGCGTCACCCTCTCCAAGGTGCTCGGGCGAGGAATGTGAGACCTGGCTCTTCCTGCCCTCGTGCTTGCCTGGAAATAGCTGTCGCGATCTGAGAGGCCCACGGAAGGGAACGCCTTCTCGCAAAGCCAAGATGCACTAGCGGCCGGCCAGCCGGAACACAAAATCCTGGTCCTTCCTCAGAGCCAGTAGCGCTTTGCATGCAAGTTGGTCGGCTCTGGGGCTTTGGGCTGATTCGAGCCGCGGTAATGGCACCTTCTTGCCCCACAGCCACACCAGGTGTGCTTCAATTGGCGGTTCCTTGAATTTTGTTTCGCTTATTTATCAAGCAATTTCCAGTTTGAGGGTTGTTTTCTCCTGTTCACTAGTTCTGTTTTTTCTTTGACTGGCCTTGAGAGCAGTCCTGTCCCTGCCTTTGCCAAGCACGTCTCGTTCTCACTCTGGTCCGTATCTTTTCTGCAGCCGAAGGTGTCCAGAGCAGCATGAGCTATGGAAAAAGGTGCAAACTTTTCTCAAACCTCTGCACGATTTCAACTTTAGTCTCCTAGTTCAAACCGTTTGCAAGACAACAGCTGCTGAGATGGGGTGCAGGAAGCTTTGTGTGCTGGAGGAGATGGATTTTTTATATATCCACTCTCAGATGACATCCCGAAAATAAGAATTAACATTCTTAGCAGCTTGCGAGCGGTAAGAGCGTTTGCCGTGAGCCTTGCCGGCACTGCTGACACAAGTCCGAAAGTGGATTATCGCTAGTGATGCTTTTCCAGGGCTGGTCCGTGGATGGAGTGGAGCAAGCTTAGGATTTTGGAGCCACGCCAGAATTGGCTACTGTTTAGAGGGGGTCTAGGTACCGTTTGAGTTTTTCCCTGGGTTATACATTTACTTGCTGCAGAACCTCTTTGAGAGAGAGCGGGAACTCACAGGAGCTGGGTTTTGTGATTTGTTTTTTTTTTTCCCAGCATCTCAGCTTGTGAAGCGGTCTTGTTATTCCCGCAGGGTTTTCCTCCTGGTTCTCATGTTTACCACTTCTAGCTATCTCCCCTGCAGAGCCCACGTCTCTGTTCGCATCCCGGACCCCCAGCCCTCCCGCTGCTTAATGATGGCCTCGGCCTCCAGCTGATGAGCTCGCAGGTCCTAGCAATCGCCGGCGGGTGGCAGAGCCCCTCTGCCCTTTCTCGGAGAGCCCCGTCACTCCACCGCTGCGCAGCGGGACCCCCGTGTGATCCCAAAGGTCAGAGCTGCTCTGCTCCCCCCGATTAAGGCTGGAGCAAAAGGGCAGGCGCTTGCCTCTGTCCCGCCACCTTGCAGTCGTTGCTGGGAAATTGTATTTTTATAAACGCATAAGAACAGTCCCTCGGTGCGTTTTGCGCCCTTGAATTCCTCTGCTTTCCCCCGGATCCATGTAACGTTTTAGCCATTGCTGTCCTTTGGCGAGAGGTTTTGCAGCACGGGAATTCAAGTGCGGCAGGACCCGCTTAGAGAGAAAGCGGGCTGCATCTCTTTTCATGGCGACGATGAAAGGGCCCACGCGATGCAACGGGGAAACAGCTCCCAGTGCCGTGAACCCCTCGCCGTGCTGTGGGAGTTGTGGTGCCGCAGGTGCTGCTGGGTGTCCCAACGGTGGGCTTCCGCGGGCCGCGAGTTTGCAATAGATAACGTTACCGATACACATCCAGGCTACATAATCCTCAAATACGCGTGCCCTGAAGAGCCAGCAGTCTCGCCGTGGGTAGCTGGCACGGGGTACGCAATGCTCTGTTGTCGGTGGGAACGCTCAGGCTGCTTCGAGGCCCCCGTCATCACTGGGGTACAGACGTATGTGTGGGAAACGTGTCCGTGGGATGCGCGCCTGGACGGAAGAGCACGGGCCAAGTTCTTTTATCGGCACCGTCCCTGAGCAGAGCGGGCCTGACTCCAGCGCTTGGCTGCAGCGGCCTTTGGCAGGAAGGTGGTGCAGGCAGCAGTCCCCGAATAGGCTCATTTTGCAGTGAAGAAACGTGCTGCTTCCCTGCTTTTCCGTGCTCCTCCCCAAGTCCCAAGAGTGTCTGATGGAGGGAGAGGTCGCAGACCCAGCCTGGAAAATGTTGTTATCCTGTGTCCATCCTGAAACCAGCTTCTCCACCCTAGTTAACCTCTTCAGGACCTCCCAGCACCGCCACCTCTGAGCAGATCACTACTGTTAAGAAGTTTATCGTTTTGGGTCTCTTAAAGTTGAGCGCTTGGAGAGCGGCGAGTGTTCAGCCTCTCTTAGAAGAGAGGAAGAGTAATAGTGTGATGTGGAGGAGGACGATGTGCAAAGGAACCACTGGCATGTCCTTCTGTCCTTAGCGACGCGTTACTGCCACCCAAAGGCACCTGCCTCGCGCTCCCCATGGACGTTTCAGGAGGCGCGGCTGCCTTTCCTGACCTTGCTCTCGTTTCCCTTGCAGTGCAAGAAGAAGCATACTCTGGTCTGCCCGGACTTCGCCAAGAAGGGTGTCTGCCCCAAGGGCGCCCAGTGCAAGCTGCAGCACCCGCAGAAGAAACGTCGCCCACGGCAGCCTGGTGCTGCCGGCAATGCCGACCGCGGCCACCCCCCCTCCAAGTGGCGGCGGCTCTGCGAAGAAACGGGCAGGTAGGAACGATGGCAAGAAATGCATTTTGCTCTTCTCCTTAAGGGGAACGGGGTCCGACAGGCTTGGGGCTCAAGGGAGAGGTCTCTGGATGGAGCTGTCGGGGAGGAAGGTAAGGATTTCTTTGGGCAGCATCCTCCCGGAGGAGCCTTGCACAGGTGCTGGGGGTTCAGTACTGGTCCCCATGCCACCTCTGTGACGCCCCAGCACCTTTGAGGAGGTCTCAGTGGGGTGGTGCCAACAACATTTTGAGCAAGACGTTTTCTCTCTCCCTTTGCCCTCTCCCATGCTGCCCTATGAGTTGGTCATGCTGTGGGAGTTGGGGTATCTTTGCACTTAGAAATGTGACCCTCTGGACTTCGTTGTCTCTGGATGTCTCTGAGGCTTTGGTAGACCTTCCTCCTGGGAGGTGAAGGAGCAGAATGGCCTGGATGGAGAAGCTGTCACAGAAAGTGGGAACAGCTCAGCCAGGGGTCTCTGGGAAGCTGGGAACCATCCTCCCCACCCTGTGCTCTTCGTTGTCCTCCACTGCAGAGAGCGGGCATGGATGGAGCCGGCTCCCCGCTTGCTTGTGCGAGGACCTGGAGCCCCTCAGCTTTGGAGGGAGGCAGGGAGGAGGAGCTCATCAGCAGAGCTTCATTGCCGCCTGCCTTCTGGTACGCACAGGAGTGTTTTAGAGGAAGGCGAGATGGGGACGGATGTGGAGATATAGCTGGCGGTGTTGGGCTGGGCGCTTGGTTAAGCACGTCAGCAGCTCAGAGCATAAAGCAGCTCTCCAGCTCTTCTGGAGATCACTGTTCTCGTTGCCCATGGGGGCTACTGATTTTTGAGTTTTCATTGTGCTGCGCAGCTGCAAAGCATCTGCCTGGGTGGCCCCACGCCCCGGGGGTTCATCTCATGCTGCTCATGCTGAGCTGGGATGGGGGAATTCGAAGCTTCCCAGCCGGGGTGTGAGGCAACAGTGGATGGAGCAGGAACTATCCGAGATGCAAGGTTGGTTTGGCCTCGATCCAACTGCTTTATTTGGTGGCGGTGTCTTCTTACGTAGAATCACAGAATGGTTGAGGTGGGCAGGAACCTCTGGAAATCATCCAGTCCACCCGCCCTGCTCAAGCAGGGTCACCTAGAGCACGTTGCCCAAGATCGCGTCCAGACAACTTTGGAATATCTTCAAGGATGGAGACTCCACCACCTCTCCGGGCAACCTGTTCCAATGCTCCGTCACCCTAATGGCAAAGAGGGTAGTTCCCATAGTAAGTGGTTTCCTCAGCGGGGCACTAGCTGGAGCATCTGTTGGCCAAAAATAAAGCTCTACGGTGCTGAGGATGGAACCCTCCAGGCTGATGGAGATGGTGGTCTTCCTCGTCCCTGCAGGAAGCAGAACTGACACGTTCCTGGAGGTGCATCCGCAGCCAGGAGAGCCGTCCCAGGTGTTATTTTTGCCAGTGGGACAACCTGGGGGATGAGCAAAAATGGAAAGAGCAATGCTGGAGGAGGTGTGTGTGTTTTATCCTCGGGGATGTTTATCCTTGGGGATGTGCCTCAGTGGGGAGCCAGATTTGTATCCCCAAAGCCGAGCGACGAAGGCTCCTTCTGTCCTCGCCACCGAACCCTGCCTCCCGCGGCATTTTAAGGGCAGAAGAAATCCATCCCCGGCGGGAGTGGGCAAAGGGCCGGGCCGGGGTGGCACTAATTCATCTGCAGCCCTTTGGCAGGGCTCACCTTATCAATCACTGTCACCGCCTGTCGCCTGAACTCGGCCGGCACCCGCCGCCCCCTGGCCCCGGCTCAGTTTGGGTTTTCCTCCAACCGCTCTGCAGCAGCCCCTGAG